AGCATCTGCGGCTCGGCGGGTCACGGGGACGGGGACGCGGCGCTGGAGGCCGCAGAGCAGCCCCGGGGCAGCTGCTGCCCGCGCGGGGGCTGCGCTGGCCGGGCTGGGGTCCCGGGGAGTGCGGTGCAGGGCTGGGTGCGGGCATGCAAAGGCACCTCGATATGCAACATGCGCAAGCGTCCGTGCACACGTTTACACACAGGCATACGTGTGCAAAGCTGCACGGCGCTGCTGGCGCAATGTGCGTGTGCACACACTGATGTGCGGGCGCACGGCTGCGCACGTTGCAATGCAACATGCACACACATACGTGTGCGCATCCGTGCATGTGTGCAAACACACGCACGTGTGCACAGACACTCACATGTATGCATATTGGCCTGTACGTGCCAATGTAACATGCATGCAAATACATGTGCAAACACATACATGTGTGCAAGAGTCCAACAGATGTGCACAGGCGGTGATGCAACATGCACACAAGTGTGTGTGCAAACACATGCACATGTGTGCGTGCAGACACACATTCATGCCCATTCATCATGCACACCAATGTGTGCACGAGCACCCGTGCAAACACGCATGCACACTCCAAACCCAGCGGAAAACATCCCGGCTGCACCACATGCAACACGCGGCCCCTGTCACTGCCCTTTGCCACCACAGGCACCGGGGGACGGGGACACCCTGGGGCGCCCGGATGCATCCGGGGGTGCCGAGCGCGTGGAGTCTCATTAGGGCGCCCTTTGCATGCTCTGCTCCGCCAAGGGACGAGGACGGGGGGGGACACACACATTTAATCATTTCTCCGAGCATCGATTTGCAAATCGATGACGCTGCTGCGCTGCGGCGCGGGGCCCGCGCTGACCTCCTTCTCCTCCCCTATGCGCGGGTAAAGCGCTTCCCGTTTAATCAGCGTGCAGAAATCAATTAGCCACTTATGACCCGCCGCTCCGCTTACTGGAGAGCGAGATAAAGATGCCACCAAGAAAAAAAAATCATGTTTCATAAGAAGCTCCCAAAGTGGGAGGCAATTATTCCTATTATCTTAACGAGATTTTTTTTTCTTTTCTTTTTGCTTCTTTTTGCTTTTTTTCCGAAAAGCCCGAGCCCGGCGGGCGCAGCGCTTTGTGCACCCGCTCGCTGCTGAATGTGCAGCAGGGTGGCGGGTGCTGCCCCTTGCACCCACGGATGCACCCGCCGTGGCCCCCCTGCTGGCAGCTCCCTCCGTGCTGTCACTATCATGACAAATAACTCGGAATCTGCTACTTCTTCCCCGATTCTTTTCTCTTCTTCCCCCTGCTTTTGCTTTTTTAATGAGCTCCTAAAAATACGCCCTGCTGCCTCGCAGAGGCGATGAGCTGAGTCACCCCCCCTGGCAACGCAGGGGTGTCCTGGGGTGCTGGTCACCTGTGTCCCCTCTGTCCGTGGGGTCTCAGCTTTGCAGAGCCAGAGCTGGCGAGTGCCCCACAGTGCCCATGAGCACACAAACGCGTGCACATGCGCGTGGCTGAGCACCCAGATCCGCGCGCTGCCTGCACGCGTGCAGGGGTTCAGCCAGCCCCATGCAACACAAGGCCACATGCACGTGTGTGCATCTACACGTGCAAGGAGGCGTGCATGTGCGCGTGCACTTCTGTCTGCACACACGTGCATGCATGCGTGCAGGTGCTTGCATGCACAGTCGTGTGCATGACATAAGCATGACTGCAGAAACAGGTGCGTGCACACATGCATGCATGGGCATATACATGCACGCGTGTCTGCACAGAGCTTTGCATGTGCACACTTGTGTCTACAGGCACACACAGACTTGCACGCAAGGCCATGCATACACGTGCATATGCACAGACAATTGCACCCACAGTCGTGTCTGTGCACCTGCACGCATGCACACACGCATGCACAGTCATGTGCATGCACCCTGCGCCTGTACACATGCTCACACACATGCACACTCCAGCAGGACAATGCTCTAACCCCTTAGGTCCCTCTCTCCAAGGCCACCATGTCCCCACACCCAAGGTCCCTGCAGCAGAGGTGCCCAGAACGGAGCAAACAAGCAACAAATCTCCCAAGCACCGAGTTTGCAAGGAAAAGGGCAGGTGGAAAAGCACGAAGCGCCGCGGCCACCGCTCCGTCAGGAGGCTCCCGGTGACGCGAGCAGCCGCGCGCCAGCGGAAAGGTTAAGCTAACAAGAGCTCCTGCCGCAATCGATGCGCAGCGCGAGCCCCCGGCTGTTTGCTTTGCATAATTGCGCGGGGAGGTGGGCGGCAGGAGAGGCTGGGGCGAGCGCACAGAGGGCAGGACAAGGGGGCTCAGGACCCTCTGTGCTGCAGAGTTGGTCAAGGCAGATTTGGGGATAGGGACGGGGTGGATGTTGCTCCGTGCCTCAGTTTCCCCTTGCGCGGGCGAAGCTGGCAGCACGTGTGTGCATTCGTGCGAGGGGATGGTGTGTGTGGACAGAGGTGTGTGCAGGGGGCACGCGTGCAAGTGCTGTGAGCACAAGTGTGCAAGAGTGTGTGTGTGTGCATCGGTGCTTGTTCGCTGACTTGCACAGCAGTGCAAGTGCAGGTGCGCAGAGAGGTGCATGCAGGTGTGCAGAGAGGTGCATGCACATGCTTGTGTGCATGCACAGGTGAGTGCAATGCTGCACAACTGAGTGTGATGCACTTGTGCACGTGAACGTGAAAGGCTGCACACATGGGAGTGCCAATGTGCAACTCTGTGTGTGCACATGGGTACAGAGTGGAGCGTTTGTGTATGTGGACATGTGTTTGTGCACATGGGTTGGTGCATGGGTGCATGCACAGGGGAGGGCAACAGGGGTGCCCTCCTGGCTGTGTTTGTGCACACGAGTGGGAAAGGCTGCATGGGCACAAGTGCAAGGGAACCTAGACATGCAGCTGTGTGCAGAGGGGTGGGAGCACAAGCACGCCTGCGCTTGCACACGCGTGTTTAGAGGGGCAGGGGGGTGCTTGCATGCACACACTCGGAAAGGAGGTGCGTGCACAGGCGAGCGAGGTGGTGTGTGTGTGCGCCGGGAGGAACCGCGCGCTGACAACGATGCAGCCGCGCTGCAGAAGTGACAGGCGG